TGACCCAAGGCTCCACTCGGATTGGTTACCGCATCTCGCACATGGGTTGCTCACGTTGCCCAGAGTGCGCGAACGAGGACGCAAGAGTCGGGATTGAGTATAGCCATGCAACTGTAACTGCATACCCAGCGCAAGGACTATTCCCCATTGCACTCCCACTTGAGTTACACCCAGCGATTTGAATTTAGGACACTTGTAAAGATGATGCGCACCATCGCAGCTGGCGCACGTTGCAGGTGTGTGATTAGGATCTGTTGCTATGAAACAGCGAGCACGAAAATAAGTGGAAGCGCCGCTCTTATACGATTGCATGCACTCAAGAGCTGACCATCTTTTGTTTAAAAATTCTATAAATTCTTCGATTTTTGGATGATCCTTGGACCCTTTGTCGCTTTCTGCCCATTGGCGTTTTGTGTCATCATCCAACTTTTTTAATAGCATGTATATTATCCAGGGATCTCGGCTTTCTGCATCTGCTCCTAACGATTTCAGCCCTCTCAAGATGCAGTCTGTGTTATCAGCTAGCGTGCGGATTGCCACAGCTNTTAACGATTTCAGCCATCTCAAGATGCAGTCTGTGTTATCAGCTAGCGTGCGGATTGCCACAGCTGACGGCTCAACTACGCTTTTGAGCTCGAAAAAAGATTTTATGTAGGAGATGATTATGGGTTTTTGCTTGTCATACCTCTCGCATAGCTTGCTCCAAGCTCTGTCGTATGCTTCATTTGAGCAAACAATACCCGAAATCACCGTTTCAGCGTCGCCTTTCAGATACATTTGCAGGTACTGGAATTTTCGAGATTTAGATATTGTATTTACGTTGTGTACAGTGTTTAAAAACAGATCTTTAAAAGTTGGCCACTTGCAGTACTNTAGATCCTTAAAAGTTGGCCACTTGCAGTACTCCCCATGGAAGGCAGGAATGTCCAACTTTGGTAAACGCGTATCGCAGCTGCGAGCTTGGTCAAGCATACTGCGCTGAGTTTCTGTGAATCGGTTGAGGGTTGTATTTAGATCTTCCACTCCAGTACTTGAGATGATAGCTGATGGGGTGGAGCGAGTGGCTAGCAGTACGAGAAAGCGTTCTTTGAGGTCCAGATAGACATCTTCCTGCGAAGAATATTCCGACACTTGGTCATCATGCGATGCGATTTTTTTGTCGACATCTACAAATTCTTCCCATAAGGCGTCAAGCCGGTCGCACCGGATCTTCAGCGCCTCATAACTTGTAGACTCAGTTGCTGCTAAAACATAACTTCTATATTTTGTGAAAGAACCTTTTATTTGCCCACGCGTACGAATTAAATTTGTGACGTCCATTAATTTGCGTTTGGTTTTGTTTAATATGTGAATTTTCGCCAAAGACCATTTGACAGATAAATTATGTGAGAGCGCTCTGAGACAACAGTTAGGCTGCGCTTCTTTTCCTCCGTTTGATTATAAGTGCAAGACGAATTGTTGTTTCTCAAATTATCGCTCACAGTAACAACGGCATTTACTTACGTATG